TAGCATATCGAAAGTAAATAACTAAAATTTTGATAAGTTTAGATTTTGTTGGGGTCATTTTCCTCCAAATGTTTGGAGACCCCTGAAACTTATCAACTTTTTATAGCTCAGTGCATTCTTGCATTCCACTGTCTTTTAGGACAGTGTGTTGTGGTTCCTGTATATTGTTAAATTTGCTTTTATTTGCTTTTTTTCATGTGTTTCTCATGATGTCTTTACATTTTGGCACTTTAAAGATGCTTAACAGAGATGCAATATGTACAGTTTGACTTTTGAATGTTTGAGAATGACAGGGATGTTTAAAAGTGAAGTAAAGGCTGCCTATGATAATGTAAGACATTTCCAATGTGTAGCTAGTTTGTTAAGAATTAGAAAGGAGACAAACACAGGATAAAAGGAATAATAAGTCAGGTGATTAAAAAAGGACTAGAAAAGCAAAAACAAGAGTCAAAAGAGTCAATAAAGAAGAACATCAAAAACAGAAAGAAGCACATTAAGAAACCAAGAAACCACGCAAATCACAGAACTGATACAGACAAAGCAAATGCAAAGCTCAGATACAGTTATAACCACAACAAAGGGGTGAAAACAAAGAGTTACTGGAAATCAGAGACGAGCTTAAACGGGTTGTACAGGAAACAGGAATGGGAGGAGTGGCTTCTGGCTGAGGATTCTGGGAGCTGTAGTGTTCAGCAGATGGGGGAGCCATGACAAGCTAGCTTAGTAGGTCTGGATGTTTTGTCTGACATGATATGTTTACTTATTGATTTCTTTAGCCTTAGAGATCTTCTTCCTCTAAATTCATGTCTGTGTGTCTGTGTCACACCGTGGTACATCTACTGAATGCCAGATTAATCAGCACATTTAGTGAGACCTACACACCGACCCGGACCTTCTTTTTGAGCCTTTGCACATGACATTAATACATAAAGACATATGATGTGGTCTCACCCAACGCCTCAGTAATAATACTTCGTTTAGTTTTATCAAAAAGTGCTGCTTTAAGGTGAATTTTGGCTATTTTATCCAATGTTTGCCATTTCCATCAAGTCTTTTTTTTTTTTTGATGTGTTCAAAATCAACACACAAATACATGAATGGAAATCTAGCTATCCATGCTATGGACTAACTCTCTCAAATGAACTGCATTACACTCGAGCGTAGCCTTTTATACCTATTTATTCCGCCTGTATTTAGTATCCTGCCACTGAAAGCATCTACAAAATACTGCTGCTGTTTCTATTTGCAGGCAGCACTGTGCTGCTTCTGGTATTGGTAAAAAGTTTTGCAATATAAAAATTAAGTGCATTCAGAAAAAGGAAATGTTGTTTTGGAATGCATGACTTCATATTGTTTATATTAGAATATATTAGAACTTTAATATTAGAGCTCACAACATGATTAATACAGTGATTAAAGGGATTAAATGATATGCTTGGTTTATGTATGTTATTGTCAATCGTTCCACAGTTTTTCATCACTACATCCCTGCTCAGTATTTAGTTCTACACAGTAATGTGTGTGTTTGGGTTCTTCTTGGTCAAATCTGTGGACAAGGCTGCAGAACAGGACTTCACACTCTCCTGCATGACTTCCTGTATACCAACAGCTCCAGCAGCTTGTCCATCACACTCCTCATGCTGGTGAAGAGATGCGCTTTAGTAGTCATCAGTATAAAAGATTTCCTGTGGTTAATTATAAACCATGACTGGACCTAATAAGCAGGAGACACATCACTACTGAGACTGTGTACATAAAAACACCAGCTGAGCTAAACAGACCTACAGTACAGTCATATGCAAAAGTTTAGGCACTCCGGTCATATTACATGTTTTGTTATTACATGTTTTGTTATTTTTCTAAGCAAAGATAAGTGAACACATCCTCTACAGAGAACACACCTGCACAATTTAATACACAATTTATTTACTGAATTTAACACATTGGAACAAAATAAAAACATAAAACATGGCCTGTCTAAAAGTCATGGTACTTTTATCATTTATATTTAATGTTTTTTCAATATGTTAAACTCAGCGAATAAATAGAAATTGTGCACTAAAATAATCTATGCATGATCATAGTGTTGAAATAAAGTTAAAAATACACTATTTTTCATGAATTGGAATATTTTAATCACTTTATTTAATGTGATCAGATAAAAGTCAAAATCTGCAGAAAAATATCATATTTAAGTGTGTTCACTATGTGGGGGGGGGGTTAGACTTTTAGACAGAAGTGAATTTTAAGTGAGTTGATGCTGTAAAGCATGGAATAGCTAAACTGATTAATAGTTCACTGCGATGGACTGGCGACCTGTCCAGGGTGTATCCTGCCTTCCGCCCAATGACAGCTGGGATAGGCTCCAGCACCCCACCGCGACCCAGAAGGATAAGCGGTTTAGATGATGGATGGATGGATGGATTTTTACCTTCATTCAATTTAATTGATTTTATTTCTCTCATGTCTCAAATTAACTTCTCTGTCAGTGAAACAATATTGTCTGAGTATTTGATGTATGTATATATTCTGTGATATCTGTATAATGCTTGTTCTATTTTATTGGATTAAACCATGCAAAAAACAGCTTTTCACTTTCAGGTCTGATTTTTTATTAAGAAAATAAGGGATAAATTATTTTATTAGATTTGTTTAGATTACTGATAAACTGCATGGTCATCTGTTTAAAGCATTGAAATAAAGTTAAAAGTGCATGAAACAATTTTTTTCATGAGTTGAAATATTTTAATCACTGTATTTAATATGCTCAGACAACAGTAATACCTGCTTACAGTTTGAATGTTAAGCAATGCAGAAGGAAATATTTAAAAAATCTCGACCAGTTTTAATCTCAGCACTTTATAACAGGTAAATCAACACTGACACTGAAATGATGCTTTTTTTTGTTTTACTTAAAGTGTTAAAGCACTAATAAGGTGGACAGTGCAGTGTCCAGATGGCCAGAGCAGAGCGGTGAGTGTGGCTTTAAGAAGAGAGGAGTCTGTGGGACAGAATGAAGAGAGGCGAGACAAACACAGCAGAGGAAGAAAAGTTTTCATCTCAGAACAAATTAATCTTTACATTAAAACCATCTACACTCTACTTAAACATAAAAGCTCTTTCTTAGATGACCACACTGAGCCTCACGCCAGCTTCACTACACAGAGTCCATGACCAGTTTCATTCAACAGTAAGACATTTAAAACTGAAAAGCACTTTAATGAAGAGACAGTTCCTTTAGAAGAGAGCACCGAGGAAAACGTCACATTTCTGATGAAGCCACATTACAGCAGAAACATTCAGAACATCTGCTCAGACCAGCTCCCTCTACTGGTCACTCTCTTTCTTCAGCAGGCAGGGCCTTCGTGGAACAGACAGATTGGAGCAGCAGCAAATCTCAGACAATGTTTGTGTTAAATTAGCTGGTAACAGCTAATTTGGGTAGCTAACATTTCTAAACCTTATGATAAATTCTGATGAACTCTTCTTTACAATTTAATGACTAAGTGTGTAATGCTTTCTATAAAAATAAAATCTTTCTGTACATTAAACTCTTCTCATTTATTGTATGTAGCATTAAACACTATGAAATCTGTTGGTTTTGTGGTCTGTTAGCAATACTTTTATACCATCATGAACAGATTTTAGTCTGAAAAGCACCGACAACCAGAGAGGTCTAGTTACTCTCTGACTAATTCCCCCTGAAAATACTACAGTTTTAATCTTATATTGTAAGACAAATAAAGTCCAGATGAGTCAGCAGGGAATTTTAAGTCTGAGTTTCCTCTTCTATTAATAATTTATTTCCATATTACCATATTTATTTAGTCAGCCATTATCAGCCTGTAAAGCTAAATGAGCTATTTTTATCAAGTTTCTGTACTTTGCATACATAAACTGATGTGGAGATCAGATCCTCATATTCTTTCACTAAGAAGGGGCATTTCGGCCAATGAGGGTAGAGAGGTTTGGCCTTTCTCTCCTCTTATACGGCCCTTTGTGAAACTGGGTGTGTCTTGGTGATGGAGATCCTTCATTACTAATGAAGCTCCATGAAAGTTAATTAACATTGTAAGTTAATAAAGGCTGGTTTTCTTCATTAATGTAAAATGTGCTCTCAGCTGCTCGGCTCTGGTAAGCAGCTGTGCTGTGATTGGTTGAGGGTCCATCACTCCGTTCTAGGAGAAAAAACTACAGAGCAAATGCTGCACTTCCTTTTCTGTGTGACCAACTAGAACAAACCTATTTAGTGAGAGTGAAGCTTTTTAACCAGCTGCATTTTGTGAGAAGACAAACATTTAACACTTTGGGAGAAGTACATACTGAGTATTTCAGCATCTCAGAATTTCAGACGGATTTTAAACTTGGTAGAATAATAATGCATTCAGAGATAATTATTATAGACTGATAGCAGAATTACGACTGAGCAGATCTCCTGAGACGGAGCCAGATTCACAGAGAGTCCAACACTTCTCACACAGATGTGAGCTAATAAAATACATAGGAGACAGATGGCCATCACTTTTTTTTTTTGATATTTGATATTTTTATATTTGTTATCTTAAAAGTGGGCAATCTGCCAAAATATATCTCCATACTCATGTGCCAGTTTTGTTTTTTTTTTTGTTTTGTTTTTTTTATGGAAGATAACCTGAAAAGTGCCACATTAAAAAAATAGGCTCTCTTGTTTACAGGCTCTCTGTAATTGGTCTAAATGACTGACCTTTTTTCTGACCATACTATAAACTCCTAAAATTATAAAATATTGAGTTCTATTGTGCTACCAGACACATCTGGTGAAGAATATTTATTTCAGTACATTATATTTCGCTAAACCTTCATTTTAATGCAGATAATCTAAATGACTGGTTCAAATAGATATGTAAGATTAAACTTCAATTCAGACTTCAATTCTCAGGAACTGGTAAGGTTTTATTACTTTTATGATCACAGTTTAGTATAAACAGATAAGATTCCTGTATTAACTTGAACTTTGAGACTGGAAGATCAGGTGATAATGGTCTCAGCACCAAGAAGAATCTGCGTGAGAATGTCCATGTTGTTATGAGAGGAACATAAACAGCATTTAAGAGAAAACAGCGTAAGTATTGGAATCTTTTGAGAAATTTGTGAATGTAATAAACACAGAATTAAGTAATCTGATTGTAACTATGGAGCAGCTAAAACAGTGCTAGTGCTAGATCAATCTTTTACACAAATGAAAGTTCTCATTGTTAATAATTAGACACTGTTTGTCATGGTGCTATAAGATATATTGCTAATTGTCGGTTGATTAGCCACCACTGTGCTTTACAAAAGGGCAGCTTTGTCCTCATTGACAACACATAGGCTGATCTGTTGATTTATTCTAAAATAAGTCTATATTTGGTTTATTACCTTCTTATTTAAGTCATTTCATATATCAAAGAGGAACTAAGAATTCTGGTCTGTGCTCTCAAAATGTGATCTTCTTAAGATCCCTATTATACATACTGAATTAGGAAAACAAGCTTCAGTTACGCTGCACCCTCTGATTGGAATTTGGGTGACATTTTATTTGGAGTGTCCTTTTTAGATGAAATAAACACTCAACAGACTCTCAGTAAGATCAACAACACATCAACGATGCAGCAGCAGTGAATACATTCAGTAGATTATCAAGAGACTTTTAATTAACCGTGTCAGTGAAATATTTCACTTTATTTGGCATCCAGATCTGTAGATGTTTAACCTGAGAGGTCGATGAACAGGTAACAGGTTTAATACAGATCATCTCAACATCAACAAGCTGTTACAGACACACTGATGACACCATTCTGTACCCGGAGCTTCACTGGATTAGGTTTTGGGTTAAAGTAAAGGTTAGGATTAGAGCAAGGGTGAGGCTTAGACTTAGGTTTTGGGTTTGGGTTTAGGTTAAGGTAAAGTTTAGGATTAGGGCCAGGGTGAGGGTTAAGTTTTGGGCAAGGTTTTGCTTAATGGAAGTACCATACTAAGTCTGTAACATGTCAACAATACATCTACTTAATGTAAATAATGTATAAATAGCACATCCTCAAGATATTTACCTCAATGTATTCAGATCCTGCAGTACTGCTACTTCACCGATATGTTACTGATACTCCGTTAAGATGACCACTCAAAATAAAGTGTTACAGGAATTTGTTACAGAAACACTTAAAACAAAAAAACTGTTTTAAAAACATTCTTCAGACTGTTGAAATGCATAGAACTGTCAGTGTTTTGCATGATTTATTTTGGGCTGCTGATTACTGATTTTTCTGTTTTATGTTTGTAATGTATTACTTGTTTTTGTGGGAACAACTGATATGGCTGTCTATCTTGGTCAGGATTCTAAAAAACAAAGTTGTTTTTGAATCTCAGCAAGATTCTTCCTGGTTAAATAAAAGTAATAATAATAATAATAATAATAATAATAATAACAATAATAATGATGTCAACATATGTTACATCAATGGTGTTTTTACAGGTTTGTGGCTGTAATTATTAGAAGAGACATGGCCTCCAAAATGAGTCTATCTGGAGAACAGGACACAAAGAAAGACGAGAGGTGAGAGAACAAGTCTTCTCACTTTCAGAGATGTCGAGCTCATCTGTTCTCATATAAATCTGTGAAAAATGACCAATCCAAATATTAAAGAAGATGCATAACTTAATAAATCAAGGGTGTCCAATTCCAGTCCTGAGGGAGTAGAGTTTGTCACATTTGGATTATTTACTTGCTGCAACATAACAATTAAGCATGAAACTGACGAGTTGAATCAGTGCTGGACTCCACCCCTCCTGGACTGGAATTATATACTCCTGACAAAAACAATAACAAAACCAAGAGCTACTTATAACAACAAAAGACAAATTAAACTAAAACGACACAGGTGAACACAATGATGAGTGGGAGGAGCTAAACTGAACAGTTCAAAAACAGGATTGCACCACAATATTCTGTCAGAAAAAGTATTATTTTCAATGACGTCCATCCTACAATATTATGGTTCTGACAACATCTTTCCCCATTTTTAGTCTGGTTCCGAGTGTTGCATCCCAGAAGAGATCAGACTCACCTGAACCCAGCTGCGTGTCAATAAAGAGTGACCGGTCAATGGACTTTCCCCTAGATTTCAGAAGGGGAGACGGTTCTCCTGCTGAGAGGTAAGGGCAGTGTGATGGCCTAGGGCAGTGTTCCAGCCTGAATTCCCTGGAGTCTGGGTCTGTGCTGCTGGAGAGGAAAATACTAATGTAGAGATTTATATCTCAGTGTAGTAAAATATGAGAAGATAAAAGTTTTATTAAATAATTGTTAAAAGGAATAATATGTTGTAATATAAGCTTGTGGACAATGTGATGGTGTCTGTATAGGTAATAGGGTGTGTTGTGTAGGTTCTGACAACATATTTCCATATTCTCATAGTCACATGCATAGTGTTGCATCCCAGAAGAGATCAGACTCACCTGAACCCAGCTGCGTGTCAATAAAGAGTGACCGGTCAATGGACTTTCCACTGGATTTCAGAAAGGATGAGTGTTCTCCTGCTGAGAGGTAAGGACAGTGTGATGGCCTAGGGCACTGTTCCAGCCTGAATTCCCTGGAGTCTGGGTCTGTGCTGCTGAAGAGGAAAATACTAATGTAGAGATTTATATCTCAGTGTAGTAAAATATGACAAAATAAAAGTTTTCTTAAATAATTGTTAAAAGATTCTCAATTATTTTGTGGTAATTTAATTCTAGGAATAATCTGTTGTGATATAAGCTTATGTACAGTGTAATGGTGTCTGTTACTGTAATATGATGTGTTGTCTAGGTTCTGACAACATATTTCCATATTCTTATAGTCACATGCACACTGTTGCATCCCAGAAGAGATCAGACTCACCTGAACCCAGCTGTGTGCCAATGAAGAGTGACCGGTCAATGGACTTTCCACTGGATTACAGAAGGGATGAGTGTTCTCCTGTTGAGAGGTATGGATAGTGTGATGTTTAGGACAGTGTTCTTCACTCCTAGTCTCACCTGATCTGACTTACTCAGCTCATTATAAAGCCTTTCATGAGCTGCATCAGGTATGTTTGAACAAAAAACTCAACTGTGCAGTGCCACAGCTCTAAAGGACCAGCAGTGAGGAACACTGGTTTAAGATTAAATCATTTCATCCAGCCAGAATTACTTGAGCTGGAGGAGTCTGTGCTGCTGCAAAGGAGAACAGTTACATGGAGATTTATACCTCAGTGATGTCAGTCTAACCCGATAAGAGTTATTTATTATTTTTAGATATGTATTGGTAACTTTATCCTGGAAACGTTTTGTTCTTTATGCTTATGTACGATGTGATGGTGTCTGTGTACATAATGGGATTTGTTGTGTAGGTTCTGACAACAATTTCCTCCCATTGCTATAGTCTGATAGAGAGTGTGGCATCACAGGAGAGATCAAACTCACCTGAACCCAGCTGCGAGTCAATAAAGAGCGACCGGTCAATGGACTTTCCACTGGATTTCAAGAAGGATGAGTGTTCTGCTGTGCGGTAAGGATAGTGTGATCATCCATGGCTGGGAGTCCAAGGAGGATGGCCCCGCTTCTCCCCCCATCATGCAGCACGATACTAGCTAGTTCAAAAAGATGTGGTGGCGCTTCACAGGTTTCAGAGGAAGCCTGTGCTAGACTTCGCCATCAAGAAAACACTGGTTTAGTAATAAAGCACTCCATTTAAGCCAGAATTCCCTGAGCTGGGGTAATCTGTGCTGCTGCTGCATGTGGAGATTTATATCGCTGTGATGTCAGTGTACTCAGATAACAGCTGGAGGAGTCTGTGCTACTGGGGGGGAGAACAGTAATGTGGAGATTTGTACATCAGTGATGTCAGTGTAATCACAACAATTTAACATATTCCTCATTTAACTCACTGCTGTTTTTCCACAGTGTCCAAAAGGAGACATCAAAAATGAACTGCATAAATTATTTAGAGTCCATATTCAAGGTGTGTTTGTGTCCATGTTACTAAGTATGTGTGCATGTCTTAAATATCTTAAAGATTTTATTTTCATCTTGCAAGTTTATGGAGCATTTTTTGAGATAGCAGTAGTTCATACACTTGTATCAGGACTATAAGTAATCAGATTGACTGTATTTTAATCTGTGAAATTGGACAGGTACTCTGGGTTCTCCAAGTTCATGACAATATCACGGAAGTATTCCTATATGTAACATAAAAGTGTTTTATAACTATTTTTTTTCTTTATTCCTAATCAGGAGCTGGAAAACAAAATAATCTCACTGGTGAAGAAAGAGCTGAAAAAGTTTCAGAAGCTTCTGAGTGCAGATTACCCAACTTGCTCTGAGAGAGAGGTGGAGGATGAGGAAGATCAAAGCAGTGCCAGAGAAGGTGTGCTGAATGTTACCTTGAACATCCTGAGGACCATGAAGCAGATAGACCTCGCTAACACACTACAGACCAGTAAGAGCTCTGTGGTGTGGCTTTATTACATAACTTTAACTATAGAGCAGTGTTTCCCAATCCAGGTCCTGCAGGCCCATCATCTCACACATACATGCACACACCCACTTCAATTTAGCAAGGAGCTGTTAATGAGCTGAATAATGAAATCAGGTGTGTCCGAAGCTGAGCAAGCACACAAATATGCAGAGCAGTGGGCCTGCAGGACCAGGACTGGGAATCCCTAGTGATTACACAGGAAAATATTTATCACCATATTCTTCTTTTGTTTATTAGAGTTGGTTTCTGTGTATCAGCAAAAACTGAAATCCAAACTGATGGAAAAATGTAAAAGAATTACTGAAGGAATTTCACAACATGGAACACCAACCCTTCTGAATGAGATCTACACAGAGCTCTACATCACAGAGGGAGGGAGCGGAGAGGTCAATAACGAACATGAGGTGAGACAGATTGAGGCAGCATCCAGAAGACTAACATCAAAGGAGAAACCCATCAAATGCAATGACCTCTTTAAAGACAAACCCATCAGAACTGTGCTGACTAAAGGAGTCGCTGGAATTGGAAAAACAGTCTCTGTGCAGAAGTTCATTCTGGACTGGGCTGAAGGAAAAGCAAATCAGGATGTCCTCTTGATATTTCCACTTCCTTTTAGGGAGCTGAATTTGAGGAAGCAGAAAAATCTCAGTCTGATGGATCTCCTTCATTACTTTTTCCCAGAAATAAAGGAATTAAGATCAGTAGAGTGTGATGCTTACAAAGTCATGTTCATCTTTGATGGTCTGGATGAGTGTCGTCTTCCTCTAGATTTCCAGAACAATAAGAGCTTGTGGGATGTAACAGAGTCAGCATCAGTTGATGTGCTGCTGACAAACCTCATCAAGGGGAACCTGCTTCCCTCTGCTCTCCTCTGGATAACCTCTCGACCAGCAGCAGCCAATCAGATCCCTCCTGAGTGTGTTAACCTGGTAACAGAGATACGAGGATTCAGTGACCCTCAGAAAGAAGAGTACTTCATGAAGAGAATCAGTGACCAGAGCCTGGCCAATAAAATCATCACACACATGAAGTCCTCAAGAAGCCTCTACATCATGTGCCACATCCCTGTCTTCTGTAGGATTGCAGCCTCAGTTCTAGAGAGACTGTTGGGTGAAGCAGTGAGTGGAGAGATCCCCAAGACTCTGACTCAAATGTTCACCCACTTCCTGATCTTTCAGATCAAACGCAAGGACCAAAAGTACCATGGGAAATGTGACATTGATCCTCAGCAGACTAGAAAGGTGATTCTGGCACTGGGAAAACTGGCTTTGCAACAGCTGGAAAAAGGCAATCTGATCTTCTATGAGGAAGACCTGAGAGAGTGTGGTATTGATGTCAGAGAAGTATCAGTGTACTCAGGAGTTTGTACCCAGATCTTCAGAGAGGAGTTTGGGCTGCACCTGGGGAAGGTGTTCAGCTTTGTGCACCTGAGCATTCAGGAGTTTCTGGCTGCTTTATATGCATTTCTGTCCTTTGTCAATAGAAATGTAACAAAGCAGTCACCCACTGAGCTCTTTAATATTTTCAAAAGGTCAAAAATAACAGACTTCCTCAAAAGTGCAGTGGACAAAGCCTTACAGAGTGAGAATGGACACCTGGACCTTTTCCTCCGCTTCCTTGTAGGCCTCTCACTGGAGTCCAATCAAACTCTCTTACGAGGCCTACTGGACCATACAGGAAGCAGCTCTCAAAACAAAGATGAAACAGTCAAGTATATCAAGGAGAAGATCAGGGAGAATCCCTCTTCAGAGAAATCTATCAATCTGTTCCACTGTCTGAATGAACTGAATGATCATTCTCTAGTGCAGGAAGTCCAGACATACCTGAGCAGAGGAAGTGGCCATCGTCTCAGTGGAGGCTGGCTCTCTCCCACCCAGTGGTCAGCTCTGGTATTTGTGTTGCTGAATTCAGAAGAGGAGTTGGATGAGTTTAACCTTCGTAAATATCATCGATCAGAGGAATGTCTTTTTAGGATGCTGCCAGTAATCAAAGCATCCAGAAAAGCTGTGTGAGTATTTTCAATCATCATTATCATATTACATTTATTTGTGTTTGGGTATTCTCTAGATTATTCTGCTTTTCATTAATTACCCTACTCAGTTTCCAAGAATCACTGGTAGTTTTACTGCATGGTAACATAAATGTAATATGAATGTAGCATGATCACAAACACAATGCTGCTCAGTGTCTTCTTTGGCTTCCCCTTACTTAGTAAGAAAGGGAACTAATGTAAACAGATGAGTAATCAAAAAACAAGAATCCACAAGAATGCAAAATGACACAGTAAAAGGCAGTACTCTGATATATCATCAATTTTCTCCCAGGTTGAGTGTTTGTAATCTCACAGAGAAGAGCTGTGAAGTTCTTGCCTCAATTCTCAGCTCAAACTCCCCAGGTCTGAGAGAACTGAACCTCAGTAATAATAACCTGCAGGATTCAGGAGTGAAGCTGCTCTCTGCTGGTCTGGAGAATACACAATGTAAACTAGATACAATGTGGTGAGATCACTTTCTTTCAAGTATGCTGATGTCTCTGACAAAAGTACATGCACACTCAGACCTCAATCTGACACACTGTGTGTGTATATATTTAAGAATGTACACTGTTACTGTTGTAGTTTTTTTGTAATGTTCTGATATGATGTTATTATTGTTTTTAAGTGTGAGAGGGAGTGGTGAAATTTAAAATGTTGGCTTCTCTCTCCCAAGCATGTGTTTTATTTCTGTACACTCAGACAAAAATATTAAACAATAATAATAAATAATAAATAAATTGAATTTAATCTATTTTCATATTTTCTTTCATATAAGCAAATACACTTCTTTTTTATGTGTATCATTTTTTTCACAGGCTGTGTAACTGTAATCTCGCTGAGAAAAGCTGTGCAGTTCTGGCCTCAGCTTTTAATTCAAACTCTTCAAGTTTGAGAGAACTGAACCTGGGTAGTAATAAACTGCAGGATTCAGGAGTGAAGCTGCTCTCTGCTGGACTGGAAAATCCACACTGTAAACTGGAGACACTGAGGTAAGATCATCACTGAGAACACACATGCATTTTTTTAAAACTGAAAAATGCTCAGTAGCTGATGTAAAAAGCTGTAGAATTGTTGATGATAAGTATAATTATTACAGTATAATTATTCTAGTGTTATTTGTGTGTTTGTGCATAATAAAAGGAAATAGTGACATAGAAAATTGTACTCCTGGAATGTATTTGTGTGTAATTAGCTACAATAGATTTTTTTTCTTCTTGCTACAGGCTTGGACACTGTAGAATTACAGAAGAAGGGTGTGCTGCTCTGGTTTCAGCTTTAAAATCAAACACTTCTCATCTGAAAGAGCTGAACCTAAACTGGAATAAACCAGGAGAGTCAGGAGTGAAGGAGCTCTCTGATCTACTGGAGGATCCACACTGTAAACTAGAAATACTACAGTGAGTTATGGACTTCTCTTTTTAGACATGCACACACTGTTGTAGTTTTGTCTATGGTGTTCTGGCACTGTTTTTTGTTTTTGTATTGTACATGTACTTTTTCGTTTCCTTTTTTTATTTTTCCAGTAATAATAACCACTATCTTATAATGCTTTAAAGCCACAGCAAGCAACTTCGCAATTTTCTTACAAAAATGTATTAAATTATAAAGTTCTGTTTACTTATGGGCCACCTTTGGGCACCTTTCTACAGTAATCACCACTAAAGCGTACAAACTATTTTTTTTTTACCAGGGGTCACCAACTAACAAACTGTGGTCAAACTGTGCTGTAATTCAGTTGATAGATAGGTACATAGATAGATACAACTAGGAGTAGCAGTAGTATTAACAGTCTGAAGTACATAATAAAAGTTTTATTGCAGTAGCAACCAAGTGCACAGCCAGATACTCGTACGCCCCCACCACCACATCTACTTCATCAATGGTGACTGGTGACAAGACGTTGCATTCCTAAAGCCCAACAGCATCTCCTTAGTCTTACTAATGTCTAGCTACAGCTGGTTCAGCTTACACATGTCTACTGAATGTATTGGTGTGCGTTTTGGTCTGTAAGTGTGGGGAGTTTTTCTCTTCTCTGTGCAGGCTTGGATACTGCAGTATTACAGATGAAGGCTGTGCTGCTCTGGCTTCAGCTCTGAAATCCAACTCCTCATCACAACTGAGAGAGCTGAACCTGAATCTTAATCAACCAGGAGAATCAGGAGTGAAGAAGCTCTCTGATCTACTTGAAGATCCTCACTGTAAACTTGAGAAACTATAGTGAGTTACTAGTTTGCTGTTCGTAGACACACACACACAAGTTCTAAAACAGGTCTACAACATTTTAGAGACTACACTGTCACACTGCCCTGAGACAAATCTCATCCACAAGGTTTGACCTTTAGAACTCCAAAGTTATTATATGTTTTGCATACTATTTAAACATAGTTACTTAATGAATTACATTTTCAGTCTATGTTGCTGGAACATAAATCAGCAGATTTCCGAAAAGAATAGACCTTTGGTGATTTACTATAACTTGTCTTGTTAATTCTCTCCTGGATGCATACCTCTTAAGCCATCTCGCATTTGTCGTACGAGGGGTTAATACGCTGTACAGCCAGCCATTATCATATTTGAAGCATTTTGTTTCTTATACTCACACATACAGCATGTACTCAAACACATTTGCATTAGAAATTAAACTGATGGTTGGCTGTTGTAAGTTTTGTCTGCATTCTTGTGTGATTATTCACAGTTTTTCTCTGTCTTACAGCATCTGAACACCATACAGACTTGAGACTTGCACGCTGTGGATTAAGAGGAAAAAGTGAAGACTTCACCAAAAGAAAACACACAAATATATGATTAAGAATATGGTACTGCATGGATGTGTGTGTTTGGATCCAGCTTGGTCAAATTTATAAACGTAACTGCAGTACAGAATTGCGTGTTTTCCCCATGAAGTCATTTCCTGCAAAGCAGTGATCGCACCTCCAACAACTCGTTCTTGAAAAGGGACTTTTCCATCGGGCACAGTTACTAATTCAGAATCCAGAACTATTCGTACCCTGATCAAGTGCCTGTGGTACATCTGAAAGAAGGCAGTTGCCTGGAGCTTGTGTGGTGGTGACATGAATCTCACATGACGTGTTAACAATAAACACAAACAGCAGCGGCAATACGGGAGGTTCAAGTTCTAAATTACGTTTTACTGCATTTGGAGTCACAGACAGCGATTCTGGATGGCCAGTGATTTTAGAGATGGTGGTCATCTGACCTGAATGACTGCGTAATGATTGCATTTGACCAATCAGTGGTCTGCACCACTCCATCCATAAGTCCTGGTTCAGTACACTTGCTATGTATGGTCACTTGGCAATGGAAATGATGACAAAACATGTGCTCATGTATTTGTAACCATATGACACTGTCCAGGGGAAAAGCACCATAGTAAGAACTGAGCTCAGGACAAAGGCAGAAGCTGCCCAGAACTCCAGCCCAAGTTCCCAGAGTTGTCCCCCTCCCTGAATCAGTCTTCCCTCATACTTCTACATGTTGAAGGCACAAACTATCTAAAGTATGCTTTATCCAAATAAAGTGTTACCAGAATTTATAGGAAGTAGTTAAAGTAAATCTGCACTTTACATTAAGTAACTTCATGGTGTAAAGCAGCTGGAATAGCTGAACTAAACTGACAGTTCTACCATTCTGCACATTCACTGCTACGAAACCATTACTTATAATATTGCACCTGAATATTTCAACCAGATGAAGGTATTTCAAGTATTTCTAGAAGAAATAAAATATAAACACAGTTTTAAACAAATATACTCTGTTATACTTCTATAATGCAGAAATTATTTCCTGGTATTAAAATGAAAACATATATGGTCTGCATTTTGAACATGGATTAAGCCTAGTCTTGTACTAAAATTGTGTGCCAATGGTGAAACACCTTTGAAAATGTGTTTTTAGTCTAGGCTTAATCAGTTCTTACATATAATGGCAATTTATTGTCCCAAAACTGCTGATCAACAAGCAGCTGTAAACTATATATTGTGACTGAATATTGTGAATTTTGTTTTTGTAATGTTTATCATGTATCTGAAATAAATTCAAACCTTTTATAAACTGAAACCCTTTAAGCCATTGTGCTTGCAGTCTGTTCATATGAGCTAAAATACACATTTATCAACAGTATCATGTTTAGAAACAGAAACGGAAACAAATGTATATAAAATACAGATTTTCCTGCTTGAGCCAGCAAAGATTTCAAATGAACAAACAAATGTAGATTACTGTAGGTTAATGTAGGTTACTTAGAGTAATAAAGCACTAATTAGCCTAGCTTTAACCCTTTCAACTCCTTGACACCATCATGGTTTCAAAATGCACTTCATCTTATTCTTCATAACTTTCATATTTCATAAGCTACATTCTAAAGGTGGGGGTCGTATGAGAGCTGTAACTGTCTTCTTTCCAGTCAAATAGATGGGTGATGTAATTTTACACCCTTATAATAAAAGAAGCTGAACTCAATTTTTTTCACTAAAAGTCGACCCATTTTTCCACAAATCTGGGCTATAAACTATAAACAGATGGCGTCTCTTCAGTGATCTGCTCTGTAAAAATTATTTTTAATAAATGATTTTAATAAATTTAATCAAATTTACTAAATTCAGATGGAAAAAACAAAATATACCCTGGAGAATAAGAGAGAAGACATTTTCATCTCAGAATCGTTTATTTTTTTATACAATGAACACATTCAAAACCACATACACTCTACCTCACACAGATCCCATCAAAAGCCAAAGTTCCTTCTTAGATGAACACACTGAGCTTTACTCCAGCTTCTCTCGCAGTCCATGCACAGTTTCATACGATGTTCAATATAAAAGATACTGGAACCAATAAGAAGATCAAGACTGATGGGTTTAATGTCTCTATTAAAAAGATTAGAAACGCACACACACCTTTGTTAGTCCATCAATGTGTGTGTGTGTTATTTCTCCTCCTTTTCCTCCCAGAATGGCGAGACAGAAAGAGAGAGCAGTCCGTCTTCTCTAAGAGCCGTAAATGAGTCTGTGGAGCTGAAGGTGAGGGTAACTGTAAGACATTTAAAGTTGAAAAGTTCAGCACTTCCATAAAGAGGCTGACGAAGCAGCAGTTCCTTCAGTAGAGAGCGCCGAGGAACACGTCACATTTCCGATGAAGCCACGTTACAGCAGAACATTCAGAACATCTGCTCAGACCAACTGCAGACTCTACTGGTCCCTCACTTTCTGCAGGAGGCGGGGCCTTTGTGGAAAAGATAGATCGGCCTCTGGAGTCCTGAGGAGCCAAAAAAGGGAAATAAAAAATGTAAGTGAACGAAAAACGGCGCTTCAATAAAGTTTACAACCAGTTTCGAGTTTGTTACGTTAATGGCCACTTTATCAGAAACCCCTCTGTTGTAGCTCCACCTTACTGGTGCACAGTAAGGAGAACGCAGCTCATCTGCTGATGTACATTTTGTGGTATCCATACTCAAGTTTTTCATCAATGGTCAGTTTCCGACCACAGAGCCACTCTTGGCTGTTGTTTTTGGGAGGTGCTGAGAATGGAGCACCACCCAAACAACATCCATGTCTCTTTAAAGTGATGAACGAGGTAGAGGGGAGTTGATAAACTGTGCAGCAACACAGCTACAGCCTATAACTGTACACCTACAAAGAGCACCTATAATGGTAGGTGTTTCCGATAAAATGACCAATAACTATCTGGTAGGAATGTTTAATAAACTAAAATCTCAGCCTACACTGGCAAAAATGTATGTAAGAATTGCGGTATATATCATGTTATGGACTCTCGGTCGTAATTTTCCTTTCTGTGTTTTTCCCTGCTGTATGTTGCATTATGCGCAGATCTGTGCCTGGCCACACGGGGGCGCCCGCCTGTATAAAAGAGGGCACCCAGCCACTACCTGGAAGCTGTTCAGGGCTCTCTCCCCTCAAACATGACCTGAAAGTACACCTGTCCAGACCAGCCCAGCACTCTTCACTCCAATCTTCGCTTTGCTTCTCTTGTTAAATGCAAAACTCTGATCGTTTGAGAACAGTAGCCGTTTGTTTTCATAACACTTTTCTCGTTTTAAGTAGGTAGTTAAGCCTTTTGTATTTTTTGTTTGTTTTACTTCATTTTCAGGTTTAGTTAGTTTTTAAAACCTATAGTTGTTTATATGTTATTTTTTGATATATATTCATCACTGAAGCCATTATCCCATAACCACCATCTTACCACTGGGACTGCTAAGAAAATCGAATTAAATCTGAGCTGTTTTCTGGTTTGAATGGTGTCCAGTGTTTGGTCTGGCATCAGGTCTGGGAGAGCCCACTGTCAGTTTCTGTTACAGCCTGACCCTTAACGGGGTCATAACTCACAGTATGGTGTAATAATAGTTTTATTTACCCCTCCTCCCCTTCAAAAACAAACTATTTTAGAATATTAATAAGTAGCCCTATTTTTGTTGGCTTATTATTTTGGATTCTTCATAATCACCATATTTAACAACTTCTGTACATTCTAAATATTTGTATTGTGTGAAACAGTTTATGTTAACTTACGACACAATCCTGCTAATCTCTGCTTCCTCGACAACATATTTTTGTGTTTTAATCATTTTTTTCTGAAACGTGATGGAAACATCCCTGACCATGGCTACACTAGCTAGCCTTAGAGTGCTCTGGGCTGCATGCAGGCTACATTATCATTATATATAAAAAGCTTATGACATCCTACTTCTATTTAATTTAAAGGGTTATACTGATTAACCGGTTTATCTCTCACTTCAAGCTTCTCATTCCGGAATCTCTGTGATTCATACACGGATGTGTGAGAGAGAACAATACGGTATCCCACCTTTAGGGCAGCTGTTGGGCGTGCTGATGAGCTCGTAGCTGGTGAAGCCCACCTCGGAGGTGAGGTAGGTGCTGAACTGGTCAGGTCTGAGCCGGATGCAGTTGTAGTTTCTGAAGGTGGTTTCCTGATGGACAAAACAGAGGAGGTGTTAAAGGTGATCACAGTGTTCATACAGATAAACAACCTTAAGGTCCCTTAATTGAACCTGTTAAACTAAACAGTAGCTCTGGCAACCAGCACAGCAGTGCTGCAGCCTCATCTGCACATGCTTACCAGAACCAAGAGGCCATAAGGTGTCCCGGTTCTCATTTCGGCATTCTAAGAGGTTCTCACTAGCGCCCTCTATGCACTTTTATTGTGGTTATTGGTGAGGACCTCGAGGTACAGGCAAGGAGCAATCAGACTATCTCGCTCTGTTTACAACTGACCAACATGGCAGATAAGCAGATGTGGTCAGGTGTGAGTTTTGAGCTGTCTGAGTGACGAAGGGACACTAACCCAAACAAACATACAGCAGTGGTTTACAAACCGTCAGTCTGGAGACGAGCGGATCTCGTGGAAACTGTATCAACACGTATATGTATATATGTTTCTTTAGGTTATTTTAGATCAGGAACTACTTTGCACTCTTGTGTGCATGAAAGGCAGTTATGTTCTCTGAGTGTCAGGCGAAAGCAGACGGAAGGGAAGCGCACTGGCTGCGCTCCAAGCTTCAGGGACATTTGTGCTGTTTGCCGTGAGCCACATGCTACTAGGGGTACTAAACACTTCTATTTGTCACCAGCATCACTGAAATATACACTGATATATAAACAGATTTGAGCCGTTACATGTTGAACAGTGTGTTAACAGTAAGCACAAAAAATAAGCAAATCTACAGCAAAATTAGACAAATATTTGTAATACAGTAGTATATACTGCATGTTTGCCACCAGCACATCTAGCAGTGATAGCGTACATCATGCAGGTAAGGCATCTAAACCCCACAGCGTTAAAAACTGACATAATTATAATTATTTTTAATATTTATTTTAATATTATTCATTTCCGTTAATTCCATTCCATTATGCATATTTTATTCTATTTTCATGGTATGAAAACATTTGGCCTGGATAAAGAATTTAACATCAGTGTCAATGAATCTGCTCTGTACTGTTTAAGCCTCACTGCTGCCATCTGCTGGCCATGTTTAAACCTCAGTTCTCCAGAGGAAGCTGAGGAGATGGGTTGGTGTTTATGTCAACAAGAAACAACATGAACCCTTACAACAGAAGAGATCTGATTCAGCACTCCGACTCTCACTTCTCCATTTCAACTCAGTGACCCACATACATTCTTTCGAGTGAAGATTGTGCAGCTGACACTGAGTTTGTGGAGAGAGAAGTAATTTCACAAATAATCATTTAACTAACACTCATATGTACTGGAAAAACCCTCTGATGTAGGATTTATTACTGACTCAAATTTGGGTCATGCCCTCATTTCTCAGTTGATTTGCCAGAGAAAATGTTGTCTTTTGAAGAAACCACGGACTAATAACATCACCTGAAGAGTCAGTCAGTCATTTGGTGCTGAAGAGGGCTTAGATTAGTGTTTAGTGTCTGAATCAGTCTGCTGTTTTCAGTGCTTAATGAACACTGCCTAAAACTCATCACTGCCATCCGCTGGCAATGTTTATTCCTGCGTTCTCCAGAGAGGGGAAAGGAGAGCGAGTTCGGTAGCCTTTGGTGGTCTTTGCTCTCGTGGAATTTAAACCACGTTCTGTGGTGTTTACTGAAGTGCTCAACGTCACTGAGTCATATCTGCGAAGCTGCACGACTGCATGCATATAAAAACAAGAGGAAACTGCAGCTCGACTCACTTCCACATTATGGCTGATACTGACACCAAAATCTGCTCATGAATTGTGCGTTACTGACTTTGGAAGACATTCTTTGCTGTATAAAATATTTAATCTGTATTTAGTATATTCTGGAACTCCTCCCATATTGTTCGTCATCATGTGAGTGTTATGAGTTACTGTAAGTTTTGAGTAACCTTATGAGCAGAGTCTGTTGACGCATCAGCAGCCTTTCTGGATGTCACAAAAAGTCAGCTTTATCCTTATGATTGCAACTGATCAAGGCTTTCAAACGACTTCAGCCTTGTAAAAAGTCGAATGTTGAGGGACATTTTACAAGAAACTGGTCTACTTTTCAGTTTCCTGACTGAGATACAAGAAAAGCGGCTATAGCTGAGCTAAAGCTTAAAGCAGAGCAAAGTAAGTCTGAGTTTTCGCTCATATTAAATTTGTTAGCCTTCACTAGTACATTAGCACATACCGAGACACATTTACAGTCAAGACAGTCCACATTTTTGCTCCTTCATTATGCACGGAGAGTTAAATTGGAGCATAAATGTGAGCCGTCTGGGGGATCCTGAGGACCAGTTTGGAGACCACTAGAAGAATGACAGAGTTAACCCACAGGGCTCTCTTTCAGATAAAACTGGACAAACAACTCCAGTATGGACTTAAGGAGGGTCGCAGGACTAAGGCTGCATTCAGACGGCACCTTTTTAAAGTGCTGCGTCTGGTGCCTACAAAGAAGCAGGACTTGCTTCTTATCTTGTCGAGTCAACACACTTGAGTGACAAGTAGGTAAACACAAAAAAGTGCTCTGAGACAACAGGAGACGAGCAATAAACATTCTGCAACTGACTTATTAAAAACTGAACTGAAAACATTTCACAGTCAGTTTGTGGTCAGTGTTGTCCAGCTCAGAGTTCAGAAGAAGCCAAAACTAGCTTTCCCTCCCTTGGAAACTAGAAAGAACCTCCTTGGTAACCTCCTCAATGGTGACTGGTCAGCTGTGATGACAGATGCTGCTTTTTGCAGCTGTCAGTGGAAAAGTTGGCATTTATTCAGCTTATAATTACAGATTAAAACCGTGACTCGCGCTTAGACGATAAAGGACAGAATTGCGCTGGAGAAGGTTTAAAAGACGTCATCTGAAGGCCATCAGGGACAGGACCTCTCGCTCGATCGCGCCCGCTTACCGTCAGTCTCTTCCTCTTGCTGTAGGAGCTCCAGGGCTGAGGCTCCAGTATGAGGACTCCTCCCGGCGTCAGGTGTCTGTAGGCTCGCTTAAAGAACCACTGCAGCCCCAAATCGCCCCAGTTCAGGTGCACCCACTTTGTCACGCCCAAACACAGGATGGCGTCATACTCCGCACGCTGGGACATCATAGCCGCCTCGCTCTCCGGAACGTAGTTCCCCTACACACACAGAGAGGGGGCGCTGTTACACACACTGAATAAACACACAACATCCAATAGGCACTGATAAGAATTCAGTTCAGTTAAACTCAACACAGCGTCATTCGTACGACGACTTCAGAGTACGATACTAAATAAATATGGGAAAATATGTTTTTACTACTAATTATTTTTCAGTAAATTCTAAAGAAGCAAAATGTGATGATTTTTTACTTTGTGGCAGCTGAACTATATTAACAGAGTAAAATCTGACAAGATTTGGGTTTTAATTTCATTGTAACAATAACAATGTTCCAAAATAATTGTTGCAAATTTAATATTTTGTCATGTATTTATTGAAATTTCAGACGTTTGATCTGTGATTTCTGAAAATACAGCATTTTTCCAATCAGTTTTCCAACAAGTGCAGATATTTAGGTCTCTTTGCATTTCTGGACAAAACAAAAAAATCTGTCCTACCTGCGTTAGTGTTTTAACTCCCACGTTAATAACTATGTAGTTACAGATTTCTGCAGTTATCTGATTATTCAAACAGTCATGTAAACACCATACTCCGATCTAGAAATCTGATTAAGAAATCCGATAAAGAGGCTGGATTTTAGCTCAGTAATCAGATTTCTCAGTGCATCTGAACTCTGACTTCTATTGGATTTCTCAGTCTGATCATGATCAGATGGTGGATGTCGCGAGACACAGCAAAACGCTTTTGGAGCGACGCTGAAACCAAATACTAAATACAGTATTTAAATATTCTTCATCTTCTAGCTGATGTTCATAGTTTCAGGTAAAGTGACTCGATGTTTAAAAAAAAGCTGTGGTATGAAGTTTGAGTTCTACGTTACGTTTACGTCGCGTCTTCTTCTGTGAGTTTATTGGCTGGTTGTAAGGCAGAAATCTGATTACTGTCTGACTCATGTAGACCTGGAGTTTCTCGATTACCTAATTACTCAAGTGCATGTAAACGTGTTGATCAGATTACTGACAGTCTGATTTTCTGCAGTTATCAGATTATTGAGTGTAAACGCACTCAGTGTTTGAAAGAAATAGAAATTCTCCATTTACACACAAAGTTCTCTGATTGATGCAATAAAGTAACCATTTTTGAAAGAAAGTGTGGAAAACCTTTCAAGGCTTAAAGAGCATTCAGATAATGAACTGTTCTGCAGTGCCACACACACACACAGCCACACACACACACACACACACAGCCACACACACACAGCCACACACACACACAGCCACACACAGCCACACACACACACAGCCACACACACACACACACACACACACACACACATCTACAGACGGGGCAGCACATATTTCCCATCACTGATACTGTGACCTTGAGCATCAGCTGATACTGAGCCAAGATTTCCTGGACCTGCTGCACCATTTAAGGTGGAACAGTGAGTTCTGATGAGGTGGCGGCGAATAAGAAGCCTTCACTAACGCATTAGAGTTGAGTGTGAGATGATCACAGCGTGTGGTGAGCGCCAGGCTAATCGGTGGGGTATAGGCTTCCATTGCCTGTTAGCTACGTTAGCCTCTTAGCTCCAGTGTTAAAACTAAACAATAGGAAGAACCCTTTTGGTGCTACATAGAACCATTTTCAAAAAGAAAACAAAATCTGAATCGATCTGAAAAACCTTTTCACCATTCAAAGGACCACTGAAGCATGAAATGGTTCTATATAGAACTCGTGATTCTAAATAGAACCACTCCTTTTACTAAAGAACCCTTAAAGAACCCTTTAAAGAGTGTATATACAGTACTAAATACAGGGTTCTCTGACTTCAGTGGAAGAGTTCATCAGATTGATCGAGAATGTGCTGAATATGGTTCTATATAGCACCAAAAAGATTCTGCTATTGTTACAGTGTAACAATAGAAGAACCCCTTTTGGTGCTATACAGAACCATTTTCTGAAAGGTTCTATACAGAACCATATACAACACATTCACAATCAATCATAAAAATCTTTTCACCACACACAGGACCATTCACACATGGAATGGTTCTATTCAGGAATCACGGTTCTAAATAGGACCGTTCCCTTGACTGAAGAACCCTTAAAGAACCGTTTAAGAGTGTATGAACAGTACTAAACACAGTTCTCTGACTTGAGAATCTAAATACAGTTCTACCCTTTGTGGTGCTATGTGGAACAAATTTTTAAAAAGGCTCTTTAAAGAACAATATATGAGGTTCTCCATCATAGAAGAACTGTTAACCAGACATTAAGTCAAAATTATTATTCATAAATTTAAATTTAATAAATAGTGTGTGTTCAGTCCCACACCCATTAAAAAAGGGTTCTTTAGTAACCATGACAACTCAAAGCAACATTCAAATGGTTCTTTGTTTGGTAAATGGTTCTCTGACTTGGTGCTACATGGAACCACTCTTAAAAAGGTTCTTTAAAGAACAATATATGAGGTTCTCCATCACAGATGAACCACAAACCAGACAAAGAATCATTTGAATGTTGCTTTGAGTCGTCATGGTTACTAAAGAACCCTTTTAAAGGGTGTAGTAAAGCACTGAACACATATGCATTATATTAATTACTGTTTTTAATTTATGAATAATAATTCTGAGAAAAGCGTCTGTGTTTGAGCTTTTATTTTGGCGTTTTGGAGCACCGCGTGTCGATAAGGAGAAACGCTTGTTTTGCATGTTGTACCAATAAAATGTGGGGAAAAAGGTGCTGAACAGCTTTTATAGGTGCTGTAAACTGATGAATAAGAGAAAAACCCCATCCTGAGTAAAGCCTGCACTGTCCAACACAAACCTCACTCAGGTCTGAGTAAGAACTCACATGCAGAGCTCTGATCTGTATAATCACTGCTTATGTACATTTTAAATAATCCAACTCCCATAAAAGACCAGGTTCTCCTGCAGTGTTCACTACACATACAAATATGCATGTTTTAAAGGACGGGACACACCTGATATTAAAATCCAATAAACTCCAAAAGCTTGAAGCGCCTGTATTTTACATTCTAATCCTAATGGAATGCAGATTATAAAACAGACAGTTCCAGTCCTAAAATCTGATTGGCTGAGCTGCGTTCGAAGCCGTCGTAAAATCCACAATACACACACCTGTGACGCCTCACAGCGACTGAACTCTATCACTGCATGCAAAAATCCCTTCTGCTGTTAATGAATAATCTTTGACTCTCATGCTGCTCACATGGAGCACCGAGGGTACTGATGAAATAAGAACCCAGTTCTGTTTAAACTGAGGAGCTGACAGCTTATTCTCTTAACTCGAACCAGGCTGGTCAGCTAGCTAACAGGCTAAAAGATGGCAAACATGCTAAACAGCTCCATCATTAATATCACAGGCTTGCATTAAAGGTCTTACAGTGTGATTCACCGTAAAACTGCAGTATAAAAGTCTAAAAATGTCACTTTAATGTTTTACACACTACAAATGTGTTTCAGTCAGAAGTCGCGTCAAACCCAGACTGAATCCCAAACGGCTCTGTACTCCCTAAACAGTGTTCTAGCTATGAAAGTTTAGAAATTCTAGCCTCTACAGCCAAACAGTGCATCATGTATCGAGTGTGGATGAGTCTGAGTCCCAAATGACTGTTTCTTAGCTGTATTTGGCTCTGTTGGGCTGCAGGATCCAGTATTTAAACTCCTACGTAGTGCACTATGTAGGGAGCAGGGAGCTGTTTGAGATTCAGCCCCAGTGTGTGAAGAGGAGCCG